GGCGGGCGATCCCCCCGGCGGGCTGGGCGGCCAGGGCTACCCCCGCTCCGCCGGGCGATGGCATCGAGCGGCCGCCGCCGCCGCCACAACAACAACAACAGCAGAAAAAAAAAAGAGAAAGGAGGAAGCTGGGTTTTACAGCCTCACCTCTCCTCCTCCTCCTTCTCCTCGCCGCCCCCCGGTACCGAGAGCTGGCAGAGAGAAATTGAAGCGACTTGGCGCGTGTGTAGTGGCACTGACGCTCGGGGTAATTAATGATTACCGGCGTTCGGGGTAATGATTACATCTGCTCCTGTGTGTGCCAGTGCTGTCCCCCACCCTCCCGTTGAGGCGTGAGGCTTTTTTTCCTCTTTCACCCCGTGTATTTATCGTGGCAGTTGTGATGGAACCGGAGAGGCAGAATCTCCTTTCAAAAGTCGTCGCCTTCCTGTCTAGCCAGGTGATTTCCCCGGTATTTAAAAGGGAGAGGTGTCGCAGAGAAAGCGGTGTGACAGCTTCCCACCTGTATTTGTGGCTGTAGAAGGTGTTTGCACTGAGTAGTGCCTTGCCTTTCTCTAAGAAACGGTTAAAAAGGTGTAGGAACCTTAGGTAAGGTGAACGGCCGGGTGTGTTGACTAAAATTGCGACTGGGCGTGAGCTGTACAGAAATTCAGCACAACTGAAGTTTAGTGAAACTGTGTTGCTGCTTGACGTTCCCCGCGTGTTTAGGAGCAGGTATTGAGATGGACTAAAAACTTGCAATGTGCGAGAAAACAAAGGACTGAAATAGTATTAGTAATTTTTAACTCCCGTATTTGAGATGGGAGCAGACGTTTTACTCAGTTCTGCACATGTGCAGGCACTTTTGAGGCAGAATATTCATGATCAAGGAGTTGTAATTGTGTGTGTTTTCATTGCTGCAGTACTTGGTCAGGATTTTTTTGGGACTATCGAAATAGAAATTAAGATGGTTCTAATAACTACCTTCAGGGTCTTAGTTTTTTACTGTTTCTTGTTTGCATGTTTGACTTTCTAGTTATTGTTTCTTCTTTTACCTTCTAAACTGTGGGGGTTTTTATCACTAGTCATTATTGGATGCTTCTATTTATAAAATCAAGGGCTTAAAGTAGGTGGCGGTCAAATTAAGTCACACTTATTTACAGCCATATTTCAGGCATATGTTGTATGGTGATCTTGATATAATCCTAGCCTGGTTTTGGGAAAGATTTACTGTATCCTATGAATTTGTTATTACAGTGTTGTGCATACATTTTAATTTTAGTAACACCCATATCCTCTTAATTCCTGTTGAATGATTTGGGTTTGACTATTTTGGTTTTCTATGTAATTATTCTTTGCTCTGGATGAGTGAAACGGGAGATTATTTTAGTCATTTGAAGCTGGTTTCCTTTTAATTTAGGCTAATGTTTGTCAGCCGTCAGGATTTCTGTACGTGTGGCAAGGCAAAACATGTACATCAGGCAAAACTAATTTTATATATAATCTTGTAATGCAGAAAGATGATTCCAGACAAAGCTCTCCTTGAGTCTGCAGCCTTCCTTTGAGGAATACCAAGAAATCCTCAAAGAGGATGCTGTCTTCTGCCACGTCCCTGTATTCTGCTGTTTCTAGAAATGTTAAACAATCCCCAACAGTTTTTCTTGGGGATGATGGTAAGGGTAGGGTCGATAAACAGTGCTGATTGCGAATAGCTGCTGTTCCCGGGCGAGTTTTTCCTTTCCAGCGTGACATATCTGTGAGGCAGGAGGTGCTGGGAGGGGCGTTCCTTTGTTATGTTGACACTTAAATCCCACTGACGGGTGTATTCTCCTCCAGGAATTTGATGTGATTGAAGGGATTCCTTCAGAGGAGGAATATTTTCTCCAGCTGTCTTCCTGCACTCCTAGCCTGTGTCCAGAAATTAATTGCTCTGAAGATCGCTGTGCGTGTGCCTTTTAGGAAGCCCTTGGATTGATTGTGACTTGGCTGTGGCTTTCTAGAAAAGCACGTTTCTGCTAAAGCAGGCTCTGTGTGTGTGTGTGTCCTGGCTTGTCACCGTGTGAGCTGGTGGCTGCTGACCTGTGTACAGCACCCCTGAAATAGGTGGATGTGTGCACTTGCGGCTGTGCGTGGTGCTCATGCATGTTAATTCAATTAAAGCTGTAAAAGTGTCTTCTGCTGCGTGTTAGGAATGAGAAGGATCGCGTTGTGTGATGCCTTCTTGACAAGGCTGAGGAAGCCCTGCAAAAACCCCAGCTCCCCTTCAGGAAGGTTTAGTGTGATGATAAGGAAATAAAACTGCACCGAGAGATCTCAGATCTTCCAAAATAACCATCGCGGAGAATTAGGGTTGGTGCTAAAAAAGAGCTGTTTCTCTCCAGTAGCAGGTTCTCCTTCGTGTCTGAAGAAAGATGAAAACTTGGGTGTCTGGAGGGAGGAGAAGGCAAGACTCCCCCCTGGGACGGCTCAGCCCCGATGCCCACCTCGCCCTGCCCTCCTCAGCGGCTGGGTTTTGGGTGCAGGGCAGCCCCCGGTAACGTGTTCCCACATTCAGCCCACCGTACCCTCTCGCCCAGCTTGGCTAGTGGCATTTCCCACCCAAAACGCTTTGAGGGCCGTTGCTTTTAATTTTATTTCTTTTTTCTTTTGCGCGCGTGACAGTTTGGTGGATGCTCTTTTCATCGGAGCGGGGTTTGCTTTCCTCTCTGTCGTTGTAATACCTTGTATTTATTTTTACTGCTTGCAACTGCGTCTCAGAGGAGATATTTCTGTCTCTCTTTTCTGGTGGGTTTGTGTGTGTGTGTGAAAGGGCTGGGGAGGACACAGTAGTGAAGATTAAGCAGCCAGTTGTAACTAGATTCTGGAGGTGAAAAGAACCCTCGTTTACATTAAAATCGTGCCGGCTGACATAGTCTAGTCTGTTCGATACTGTAGTCTTGCTGTGTTACAAAACATACCGGGATAAAATGTAACAGGTTGTATAATAAGCAGGTAATGTTTGCGGTATTAGCCATTGACCTTAATTTGCTTGTTTTTTGCTGCATTGCTTGGGCTGGACTGTGTTGTGAAACGCACATAATGTACTATTAAATCTGGGCTTTCTCTGACACCAAATTTGGTTCAATAAAGGCGTTTTCAGTATGGCAAAACAACCATCTCTGCATAAAAAGGGGTTTTTAATTACTAAAAATTTTTCCATCATTAACCTCTAGGTAATGGCTATTATTTTGTACAGAAATTCTGCAGTGTTTCTAATCTCTTCAGTAATTTTCTACCACGTAGTGAATTTCTGCCTGTTTTAAGATCGTTGCAGTTTAAGAAGTACTTTATCTGTGTTGCTCTAGAGGAGAAATACACGAGAGAAGGGAGCCTATCGTATAATTGTAGACATGCTGATTAGCCTGAGAATATGTTAAGAGGCTGTGAATTGGTGTAGATAAATACTAGGATGCATGGGCAAAGGATTTAAAACAATCTGGCGTGGCTGTATACTTGCTTCTTTTAAGGTGTCCATTTAAAAAAAAAAAAACAAAGGAAAGACTTGAACGTATTTGTTTGCATTTTGGTTTTTCTACAAAAGTGTAGAGAGGCTCAGAGGGGATGTACATTCGATCCTGATTCTGGAGAGTTTTGGGTTTGGTTTTGGTTTTTTTTTTTTTTTTTTTTTTTTTCCACAGGGGAGTATGTAGCTGTTTGTTTATGATTTTTATTTTTTTTTATTTTTTAGCGTAGTTGGAAGTTTGCTACTTGCCTGGTAGTGGTGTTGGGGTTCTGCAGAGAGGAGTGCCCTGGCCCAGTTCATCTGGGGAAACAGGCGACTGGTGCTGGCAGTAAATGGGTTGTAGCTTGTTCTTACCTTTACCGTGCTAATCCTCTGTGTGTCTTAAAATGCTGCATGTTCTACATGTGAGAGGTGCATGGAGTGATCCAGCAGACAGTCTTTCCATGGGTGATCCCACCGATGCTGTATCCAGTGCAGGGGACCTGCCTAACCCTGTGGTGGGAGGCTTTTTGTTATGCCTGCATCCTAATTGTTCTCTCTGTTGGCATTGTGCGGAGACTGAAGGGGCTGTGCACCAGTGCAAATAGCCTTTCTAAATACCTTCTGCATTTGCATTATAATGGCTCCATAAATGTTGCAGCACATCTCGGTTCACTCTCTCCCTGCTTTGACTGCTGGGGTTTAAAATAGGTCCTTTCTGTAGCACGGATCTCCTTCGTGGTTGGTATTGCTTTGGAGGGGGGGTTCTGCAGTGCATCTTTATTAAATACTGAAGCCTGTTTGCGATGAGGTGCAATTTTAACTTATCCATGTTCTAGTCTCCCACTCCTTCCAGCCCACAGGTTGATAGAGGCGCTTGGAAGAAAAAAAAAAAAAAAAAAAAACAGTTTTCCACCAACTATTTCTAAACTCACTATATTTGGGGTTGCAAAACATGTTTGTTGGAGACTTGGTTTTGCATTTATTTCCAGAAATCCTATAGATGTCTGTGGGAATATTTTATGCATAAGGAATGCGAAATATTCTGCCACCTTTGTTTCAGTGCCGAAACATTTGCTGAGTTATGACTAACTTTACCAGAAGCACCCCAAATTTCCTTTGAATAAAGTGTCGGTGCAGCAACGTGATTGAAAGCAGACACTCTTTGTGGGCACTGGTGGCAGATTGCCATCACCTATCTGTCAAAAGTTTGCTTTACAAAGTTGCTAAACAGAACAGCAATTAGTACCACTTACTTGACTCGTAGTGATTAGTAGATGCATAGAGACTTTTAAAAATCGTAACAGAATGCCATCGTTTAAAAGGTTTGAATTCATTTCTTGTAGCTACACCCTTGTTATTAATGCAGTGTGTCAAATTTTGGGAAGGGTAATATGTTAAAGCAGTACTTAGATTTTTTTG